TATGGGGCAGACAGCCTCATCTTTCTCCTGCGGAGCAGCTGATGGGTTTGAACCACAGATCTTGCATTTAACAGTACAGTGCTTATCCCACAGCACTACTGGGGATCCTAATGGGGGTTTTTTGAGTGAGAAATGAGATGTTTTCATAAAACAGACAAATGACAAGCTTGAACATGAAACATGCCACAAGACAGGAGATCTATCTAGTCTCCTCACAATGTCACTGACATGGAAAAATGAAAAGGTGGGAGAGGAAAAGAGAATAAAGACATTATCAGAACAACCTGAAATTTACAGCGCTTGACATGAGTGAAATGGCAGACCCGATTTGAAAAGAGACTCCATCTGAACGTACTTGAAGACAGTGGGTCTGGGTGTTACTTTGGTTTGTTTTCCCTGCTTTCCCGTAAGTGCATGAACCCTGACTGATGTTACTGGAGGTGGTTTTATTTAAATACGTGAAATGTTGCCTGCACAGACGGTACTATGCCCATTTTTGTTTAGACTGTTTCCAAGGCTTTGTGCAAGAAATGATTACTTCTAACAAGGATGTAAGTGTGTGCCTTCACTTTGTCTGACTGGCTGGAGTTTTTTAAATAACCACCAATCAGAAAATTTGCTTACAAGTTGCTGATATCTCTGTGTATGGACCGTGTTTCTCCTCCCTATGGCTGGAGTGCACTCTCAGATGAATGCCCTGATTCCTCAAAGCAACTGATGACACAGAAAGGGGAAGCCATGCTCCCATTGGACAGATGTGGAGCATGAGGCTCAGAGAGCTCAGAGGACTTGCTGAGGTCAGAAAGGTGCTGTGTCCAAGTCCTTCCACTTGACAACACATATTTCAGAGTCCTGGTGTGGCACTATAGGATACGCACTGGCCTGTTAACCACGAGGTCGACAGTTCAAACCCACCAGCCACTCCTTGCAAACCATATACAGGATGGCTGAGTCAGAACTGCTCTGTTGGCACTTATCAACTACAACAACACGTCCGTCAGCATGGGTACTCTGGGTACCAGCCACTTTTCAGAGCTTCGGTTTTCTCACTATCTGGTCTAAGTTTCACAGGAGAAAATGCAGCGATTCATAATTTGGACAAGAAAGTCAAACTTGGCCCCCTTCCTTCCAGCACAGAATACTTGGTGGCGGTGGGAGTGGGGAGGGTCCAGTTGAGGCAGGTGGCAGCTTCGTCAGAAGTAGCAGGCACACTCCTGCCTGTGCCACCTCTTCAGCCACAGCCACTTAGCAAGTTCCAAAGGCAAAGGACATGAGAAGGAGGTGAGGAGACAACGCAGTCACGCAAACAAGGCACCACGCAAGTACAGTGAAAAGTATTTCAAATCTACAAAGCCAGGGCCACCGAGTCCATCCCCATTCATCTCAGCCCTCGAGGACACAGAACTGCTCCGAAACTAAATCTTTCAGGGAACAGTCTCTGCTTTCTCCCAGCTTCTGAGTTTGAACCACCAACCTTGCAGTTTAGTAGCCAGCCATTGGGCATTGTGGTGGGTGTGGACTTGACAACCAGACTCAAGTGTCACCCACATTTCAGCAGCCCTGGTGGCTGCTCTTTGAAGTTGCTTTGCTTTGGAGGAACAATGTAACTGCAGGAACTCAAGAATCCCGTGACTGTCATGAAACTCAGGGCTCCACACAGCGCGTGCTTGGGCAGACATGTTCCCCTCCTCTCAGGCAGCCTCTTTTAGTCTCACCATAAAGGCAGGTTAGGGTTACAGGTTGTCCCTGTTTTCCGAGTGACCTTTCTAATCAACATGCACCGGGAGAGTGACACTGCAGAGCCCACAGGCGCTGGTGTGTCCCATTCTCCCAGGGCCCACCCTTAGGGTGCCTTCGGCCACTTCTGCCTTGCTCTTTCCTTGGACACATGTATGCTTGCATATTCACAATTCATCATTCATAATGAAAGGAGTGCAACTTTAAAAACCAGAAGGTTTCCTTTTTTTCCACTTTTGAAGACAGAAAGTAGAATTAGACACTGGCCTATGAATCTCAGGTCTCTCCGTAGCAAGCAAGCAGGTGGACAGGGATTTCAAAATCCTGTTCTCTTTTTATTCCATTTTTCCACCAACTTTGTGTAATCCTGCCTTTTCCATGCACAGGGGACGGCTCTTGAAAAATCAATACAAGTGCAAAAATTGCAGGATGAGATTCTTCAGAGCTAGGAGGGGGCTTCAAAAAGTGTTTGGAAAAATGGAATGAAAAGAGAACATCATTTTGCTACAAACTTTCTGAAACCCCTCATAGTTCCCTAAGGATACTAAAGGCCCTGCCATTCAGTGGATTCCTTACAGAATGAGAGTTTCTGGGCCAGAGAGGGAGTGATTTTCATATGAATGTTGCCTGTGCCCAGACCCCTAGAAGAGTCTCCCCTCTGCACAGAGAACCTTGTCACTTCAAACAAGGCAGGAGAGCTGTGAGTGACAGGTGGAAGAGAGGGCTCTTCAGAGAGGAGACAGACATTACTGGACCCTTTTTTCAAAGAAAACTTTGAAGATTTTGTTAGGCTTTCTTGGTTAAACTGTCACAGGATAACAAAGCAGTTGCAAATAAATGCAATTCAGGGCCTCAGTGCTGCGGAATTAGCATTTAAGAAGGCCTCCAGGCCAGGCGGCTGGGCTGACACCCACTGAGAACCTTCTCCTAAGGAGTCTTGGTGTGGCGCTGTAGGATAAGCACTGGGCTGCTAAACGCAGGCTTAGTGGTTCAAACCCACCAGCCGCTTCTCGGAAGCCCTATACAGGGTTACTAATTGGAACCTACCTGACGGCATTTAACAACAGCACAACAAGGAGTCCTGGAGGCTCCCTGGGCTAGGCATTGGACTGCTAGCCACAAAGTTGGCAGTTCAAGCCCAGCAGCTGCTCCGAAGGAGCTTAGAAACCCTAGATAGGGTCACTATGATTGGGCATCAAGTTGGTGGTAATGGATTGTTTTTTGTTTGTTTTTCTTACACAGTACAACGCACAAACCAAAACTAGGATAAAAATTCCTGTCTGAAGGAATGTTGTTATTGTTAAGGAAAATGTCATCAATTCTGTTCTGACTCATAGCAACCCTGTAGGAAGAGCAGCTGGTGAGTTTGAACTGCCGACCTTGTGGTTTGCAGTCCAGTGCTGATTCTTCAGTGCCACATCAGGAGCCTGAAAGAACAGTCACAAAAATCCCTCCTTCTCTGCCTGAATCTCGCCCCTCTCCACACAGCGTCCAAGTCCACAGTGCAGAGATAAGCCTGCCATGTACCTCTGGTTGCATAGCACAGGTGAAGTAAAGGGAGGCGGGTAGAAGAGATGGGAGCACACGTGCACGATTCAGCCTATTTTCCCAAAAGGGAAATGCAGCACAGATAAGCTCCTACCACATCTGTGTCCTCCATGAGCTGTGTAGCATGAGACCAGCCCCTGCGCCTCTCCAAGTCTCCAGGTACCAATCTGTAAATGGAGGGGATTCGGGAAGCTCACTGGCTTTCCAACTATGATCCTTAGAGCCCTAGGGTCCTGTGGAGGTCCCACCAAGGCAGCATGGCCTAATAGGAAGAAAGGCCTGACAACCTCTACCTGCTCAAATGAGCCACTGTAGCAGCCACTCAAGGCACAGCAACTGGATTTCTGTTCACCTGGAGCAAAAGAGGAAGAAAGAGAGTCAAGAATAGGAGCAGACTATGGACTGTGTGGTTCACTGCCTGTCTCCTTTGCCCTCAGACTAGAAAATCTGCATGGTGCTATTATTACTGAACGTTTTGAACAAAGATATCACAGTAGACTGCTGATCAAATGGGGGGAAATGCAAAACAGAATTTTTAATTTTCATGAACTCAAGACTTTCTGCAGCCACGGAGGCTGAACGAACCCCGAGACTATTACTCTGAGATAACCTCTAAACCTTAAACCAAAACATCCCCTGAAGTCTTCGAATATCCAACAAGAGTTTAGCTTGACTAGTAAAGAATGTTTCTCTTGAGCACTATGCCCTTTTAACATCTACCTATAGACGGCACTTAACAACAACAACATAGGGGATCAAATTGACCAAAGTACCTCATCAAATGACTTAGGAAACTTGGGAGATAGTGAGCGTCTATCAACGAAGGGCAAAGGGCTCAGAAAAGGAGGGGGAGAATATTTGAAAACTATAATCAGTGTCTCTGAACTGCACACGTAGAACTGTAGAATTGGTAGATGGTTTGCTGTGTATCTTCTCCAACAATAAAATCAGAAACGCAACAGCAGCAACCCTAAGCAACACAGCAGAGTCTCATCCACTCCAGAGCTAGAAGATGTGTGCCTAGGTGGGAAGGTGGCCCAAATGCAGTGTCTGCAGCCTTGAACTTGGGCATATGAGCAGCCATGGAGATGGCACAGAACCAGGCACTGTTTCATTCTGCCGTGCATGGGACCACCATGAGGTGGAGCCCACTCCAAGGCAACTAACCAACTACCAAGGCACTCCACAGTCACGTCTGAGAAGCATTGGACTGGTGTCCCTTTCGGTTTGTTTCGCTCTTTTCATTGCTACCTTATGAGGTTTCCAGGTGTCTCTTGGGACTCTGGTTATTAGAATTAACTAACTGACTGGTTAACATTGGTCCTCAAACCTGTATATTTGACAGCAGCAATGGGCTCAAGTATAACAACGATTACGAGACTGGCGCAGCACCGGGCAGTGTTTCGTTCTGTTGTGCATAAGGTCGCTATGGGTTGGAAACGACTCAATGGTGCCTAACAGCAACAACAATTTGTACTTCAATGCTGAGAAGACTGCCTTTCAGGTAAAACACATGGCCAACATCACATGGCTCAGTGGTGGACAGGCTTCAAACCCAGGAACTGTCTAGAATTAAAACCATAGAGCTCAATTCTGTTCTTACAGTTACAGAATAAACTTCATGGTAAAAAACAAACTGGTTACTACAGTATTAGAGCAATTCTTTCTCCATGGAACAAGACCAAATCCTGCATTTCAATTCTCTAAATACTTACCCTGGCGTGACTAAGTGAATAGCCACAAGTTCTGCCCAGCAAGCATATCTGTTGGGTACTGGAAAGCCCCAAACACTAACGTAGCCTCCGGGACAATAATGGTTGTTAAGAACTTTCAAAGCAAACAAAACTCCTGGAAGAGAATAAAGAGAATCCAAATATCAACAATCCAAATGTGGAAAGAAAACTAAATTCACATGAAAATGATCTTTCAACTCCATCCACCATTTTCTATTGCAACATAGTCTGTTCCTTCTAACACATGTCGCCCAGCATTCAATTAAGAAGACATAAATGTGAGGCAGTCATTTTTTTTAAGGTTTCTGAGCATGGAAGTAGCATGCGTGAAAACAGCCTCTCCTCCCTGCCGTTTGCAGGCATGCTACCTCGGACAGCCATCTACCTTACCTGAGAAGCCTACAGCACAATTCCTTTGGAATGCAGGTTCGTCCATAAATGTCGCAAGAGAAAGTTCCAGAAGCAGGTACACTATCCCCGTGAGCAGGGAGAAGGTGACGATGATGTAAGCAAACCACCTACTTCCCAGTCTCCTCTCCAGTTTGGATCCTTTCCACAGCATGGACGCCATATTGAAATACAGGTGCCAATCATCAGCATGGTGAACGGGGGACAGCAGCAAACGCTGCCAGTCTCTTTGCTGGTAGCACTTTTCCACGCTAATGCAGGAGCCATAAAGGGGTTTCACGGGACTCAAGAAGAACCAGATGTTCAGAGCCAACGTAGCTAGGGTGACAGGTGGGATATTGTTGATCCCCATGTGGTAGACTTGGGAAAGGAGCAAAAGCAGCCCAGCGTTGATCCCTCTTGATCTCTGTTGCATGGTTCAGTAGCAGGAAAACCACCCAGTGATGGAAGAATATGGTTTAGGAATGTGGAGTGCTATAGACAGCTGGGCCTAAAACATAAAATAAAATGCAAGTGAAAACCCATGAACTAAGGATAAGGACATTAATAAGACATACTTTCTCCAAGGGAGCTTACATTCTGTATAGCTTGACTCCCATCCTAACAGAAACATTTATTTCACTCTTTTTAGATGGGAAACCTAGGATGTCAGCTGACACCATGCCTCCATTTTACCTTCCAGCATACATTGTTGTTGTTGTTGTTACATGCCATCAAGTCAGTTCCAACCCATAGCAACCCTGTATAGGGTTTCCAGGGAGCAGCTGGTGAGCTTGAACTGCTGACCTCGCAGTTCAAACGGCTTTGCAGTCGACAGCGCCACACCAGGACTCCAGAATACATACTTTTTTTTAATGTTTTATTGTGAATTATGTGATAGTTTACGTTGGAGAACATTAGTTTTATATTCATCCTATCGTATATCATTTCATTGCTATGGTTACAATCCCCTCCATGCATCGTCAACCAACCAAAGGGTATACACTACAAGCCTGTCCCCCGGTCATCAGCACACAGCCCTTCGCCCTCTCTGGGTCTAAAGTCCCCAGCTGCTCCATCGCTCCACGTCATCATTTTTGCCTCCATCTCAGGTATCACTGCTTCTCTGGGTAGGGTCCCGCTCTCTGCTCTTCTCCCTTGATGGTCCCAGGGACCTCCACTCCTAGGATGAAAAGTTAATGACTCCCTTCCTTGCTACAAAATGTATACCTTTACAATTCCAACCCTCACAAGCAGTCCTGATAACAATTATTCACTATTGTATCACAAGAAACCCCAGAATACATACTTTATCCCAAATCTTAGTGGGCCCATTAACAGACATGCTCTCTGGATGACAAGTATGCCATGAAAGTACAACTTGTTTTCCTTAGGAACAAACGTCAAACCTCATGGAAAAAAACCTACAAAATATAGTGTGCAGATATTTAATGATATATCTACTCTATTTTTGTTGTTAGTCAAGTGTCGTCGAGTAGGTTCCAACCTATAGCAACCCTGCATAGGGTTTCCTAGGAGTGACTGGTGTGCTTGAACTGCCAACTCTATTATTCAGCTGTTAATAATGTTTTAGCCTCATCATTTTTTTAATATTCTATTTTAACATATTATACAGTCTACTCTAAAGAATTTAAATGTCACCAAGCAAGGTTAAAAATGCAGGCATATACTACATTCTAACCCAGCTTCCATACTTGCCAGATAACTGCCTGAATACTTTCTTTTCACAAAAACTTTATTTCTTAAAAGCTACCATTTTCCAAAACCTGCATTAAAACAGTCTCGGTTTCTAAGGAGCTCACTTTTTAGTAAGAGGTAAACCAACAGCAGCCACACAACATTTTAAATGCGATGACAAAAAAACCCAGGCTAAAGGCACAAATTCAACCTGAGAGAGTGGTCGAGTGCAGTCTTAGAAAATGAGCTGCAGTTAGGTAAGGAAAAGGTCCAAGAAGTCCTCTTCTTCACTTAGCCTGGCATTGTGACCTGCTCTGTGGACAGAATGTAAAGGAAGGGCCATACTTAAAGTTCTCCCAGGCCAACTTGTGGACAAGATAAAACCTTCCCAAGAAATCCCAGTGGAAAAGTCTGAGCTAGCCTGCTGGGTGCTGAAGGACATATGCCCCAGCCACCTGAGGAGCCCCGGCCAGTAGCCCAAAAGCAAAGCTATCTCGCAGACTGGCAGCTGACCACAAATGCATGAATGAGCCTAGCTCAACTCTGCCAAACTAGCTGACTCACAGACAATGAACTAAAGCAATGGTGGTTAGTTTAAGCTCACCAAGTTTAGGAATGGTTTAGTATACAGCAAAAAAATGCAAATTGATACAGAAGGTATTTGCTCTGAGAAGACTCTGGTTTATGCTCATGAAATGACACCAGTTAAGAGAAGAGAGAGTGGCAGACAGACACAAAATGAAGATTTAAGAGATTCAAAACTTTAATAAAAAGGAATCAAGAGGCAGGGTTTGATGGCAGCTAGGGTGGAGGTGCAATGAGGGTCGTCATCAGCCATACCACAGAATACCAGGCAAAGCAGATCCACGGCAGAGCTCCAAAACTCGAAACACAGAGCTAGGAATAATTTTTAAAGTTTGAAGGCTTATAGCTAGTGGAACTTGAAGCTGAAGTAAGAAACTGCGTACTTTTGAATTTGCCAGGCTCAGAGGCCCAAAGCTGACATCTTGGGCGAGACGAAACGGCAAGACCAAGTGGGGGAGCAGACACACCACAGAAAAATGCCACGAGAACCTTGGAGCAAAAGTGGACAATACACTTTGTCGTTTTTGCTTTGTTCTGATTTTCTTTCTATTTTTAGTATCTGGGCATTGGCCCACCCACTGTTTGCGCACCTTCATTCTGGTGACTAGATGGGGAGCCTGAGAGAGTGGACACCCCCCACCCTCACCATTGATGGATTCTTCTGCCACGCACGCACACAGATACTCAGCCCAAAAGCAGGCCCTGAACGTTGTTTGTTTGTTTGTTCTTTGTTTTGTATTTTAATATGGGAAAAGGCAGGACAGGGCTGTATAGACGGAAAGAGAGTTTAAAAACAAAACACACCGAGAATAATATTAAAGCCTGAGGTATATAGCATAACAACCAACAATAACATCTTGAAATCTCTCAGGCAGCTTTGAAAGCAAGAAGCTGAAGAGAGGACATTAAAGTCATACTCATATTAGGCTA